GTTGCTAAGCCTTTTAAAATTTTGACATGTGGAGGATATGAAACAAATATTTTTTTTTAGGTTTTATATATACTTTTGAATAACTTAAAAATAATAAATTACTACATCAATACCACAGAATTCCACTATAATTTATCAAATTTAGTAACTAAGCTGAATTTGGATCTAAAAAAATATGAACTTTCGAGAAGACTAAAGACGCAACCTACCTCATTGAAATGTTGGTTCAAAATAAATAAATGGTGCTAGATGTGTTAGAAAGGCTGAGAAAACCACTAGGGGACATTCTGAGCTTCCAATTGGTTATTCATGTCATATAAAGAAGTAAGTGTATATAAGGGAGCGTTTCAAAAAATGGAAAGAGGTGAGCGGGTTGCCACTGTGTTTGATTTATTACGTGAGCAATATCTTAGCAAATAGAAAAGATATTCATATTTGATATTCTAGCTTGTCGATATCTGTACTTTGAGTTTCTAATTTGTATGAAACTATAGACTTAATATTTTGACTTCACAAAACATCTAATTTGAACCAGTGCTGCATTCAACATACCATGTGACACACAAAAATCGATGTTTAACTGTATTTTTAATATTTACTTTAAATTAACAAATTGAGTAGCATATAGTTCTAAAATTTGAATTATAATCTACAGTTTGAAATAGTAGTTCAATAAGATTTTAAATGTGAGCCAACAAAAGAGATGACATGGCCTTTTACCTGTGACCCATCTTGAGTAGGTTAAAGCAATAGCTTTTCATCATTACAAATCTTATAGACCTACTGATGAGTATTAACCCCAGAGATAATCTTAGTTATTCGGTATTTGTGATATATTTCACTTCCTGGAGAAACTTACTACCACGAGAAGAATAAACAAAATGATGTATTTGAGATATAGAATTTGTATGCAAAATGAACAAACATCTTGAAGTTAGGGAGTAAAAAAAAAAAAAAAGAGATGATTTAGTTGTAATTATTGGTAAAACCTGAAATTGAATGTTTATAATTATGGAGAAAATAACTTGCAGAGTTCTACTTATAGAAATCTTTAAGTTAAGAGCAAGAATGTTATTGTAATTATAACAGTTGCTATTGCTACAAAGGTTCTATTTGATTATTCAGTAAAAAAAAAAGAAAATTGAAAAGTTAAGTTCACTTAATGATATAACAAGTGTTTTATTTTTTCAAGATCCAGGTTAGTAAAAATTCCACAATTTTACTTAATTAACAGCAGGCTTAACTTTACAAATAAACAACTTCTAAACAAAAATTCAGTTTACCAATATTGTATCTCTTCAACTTGATTTCACTGCAAAGACAAAATTTATGGCAGTGAACTAAATATATAGCTGTCAGTAACAGATAAACTGACTAAATCATGCACTGATTACTTGTTAAATGATTAAGAAAATCACAAATCAATCAATCTACTCGAGCCTAAATAGTATTTTATACCATGCAAATTGTTCTAAAACAAACCTCTAACTAAATAACAAAACAAACTTCTACATACATACCCTATAGCATCTTCTCCTAGATATATTTAATACTGATGAAGCTGAACTTTGCATACGATGTACAGTTTTGGTCCCATGATTATTGACATACTGAAAAAGGGCACAGTTTCATAACTCCTTAAGCCTGTAATGTTTTGCATGCTCTGCTGGAATTATTTTCATGATTTCATAATAACTATCACCGTACCTTATGAAACTGAAATTTTCTTATTTTTATAAATAATAACATGGTTTGGATTAGTTTTCAGCCAAAGAGACAAACGTTATTGGATGCCATCACGATCTAATGGGTAAGTTGGGATTTTCGCCCAGATGCTGGTTTAAGGAGTTAAGAAACTTTAACTATGACAATAATATTTAAAGACCTAGATTTGTTTTCTTTGGCTGTGGATATTAGAAATAATAAGGGTAACCTAACAAGAGTGTCCATAATTGTTTGCAACTTACACGTGGATAACCTGGCCATAAAAGGTACTATAGTTTTGATTGATGAAAGATAAAATGTAGTACAGGAAGTGATCTGACCACTAAAAGTACTAACTAAAAACTTTTGTTTGATTGTCCAGTCCTAGACTTTTTGTTATATAAAACTAGTTCGCTTCTAGAATTTAATTTTTTTTTTTTCAAGATTAACTGTGTTAATTACAAACACTATCACTTAAAAACTTTGCAACTAATGCTTTTCTTTTCCAGCTTACATGTAACTTAATGTAGTATTTACAGAAAGAAAATTTCATTTGCAGGTCAGGACGTGACATAATATTTGATGTGACCAAGATTTATATAACTTAAGATTTTCTTATTTAAAGATAATGCAAAATTGTACAAAACTGTGTTCTAAAGAACATCGCTAACAAGTAATATAATGTACTTGTATAAAGACAGACAATAAATACATACCTTGTTTTCTTTTTCTTTTTCGCTATTACCTTACATCTAATTTCTGATGTGCTCATAATACAATACATTCTATTTCTCTAACGTACCTCAATAACTTAGTCTGTAGTAGTCAGCGACACTGATATTATAAACCACCAGAAAGTATTTTGTATCTTCAAAACGAGTTATGAAAATATTGTATGGAGAATGTTTTCAAATGTGGACAGCCAAAGATGGAAACAAAGTTTAAAAATAAATTATCTTTATTGATATAATAATGGGTGTGTTTTAGTTTCAACTGGTCAATTTGTGTCTTTCTGGATAGTTCCTGTTGGCTACTTGGGTGAGGAGCAGGTTGAAAACTAAAAAAGTCTACAAAGGACTAAAAGTAAAACAGAAAAAAGAATGAAGAAATAAAACTTTTAGGTCAGACTGAGGCTCTTAGGTTACCTACATCAAGAACCATTCCTATTAAACATATTCAAAAAATAGAAACTCCAAAATCATACTAACTTGTACAACTCTCTGTACTACATCATGGACTGAGTATGACCCAGTTCCTGGAAAGCATGACACAAAACAAGTGAGTGCAAGCCCTAGATAATAATCACTGTATTATGTAGCCTTCATCTAAGCAAGAAGATTAGAGCAAGTTTATGCTATTTGTCCATTCAGTTTACAAGAATTTCATGTGTACAACACCTGCACAAAAATTTAGAACAGCTTACCTGAATACAACTAGATATGGACAATATCTGATATGTACAGGTCATCACAATGACACATTTTAACCTTCTCTATATCATTCTAACACACAGTACATTTAATATTATTGGATATCTAGGGATGGTATACTAACTAACTTCTCCAGAAGGGTTAGTCATAAAATCCTCCCATTTACTTCTCTTATAAAAAATATTAGCTTCCATTAGATATCAAACAATAAATTTTGCCTGTTTTTTAATACTATTACTGCACCCCATATTTTATACACATTCTAGAAAAGATTTAATATATTGTACAGCATGAAAGCCATGAAAACCCTTTGTTACATTATAAGCCTATCTTTACAAGGTATGATAATTTTATAATTTATTGGTAATATATTGCAATTTTCAATTCTAGCTTTATATAATTCCATTGAATATATATAGACACACACACACCTTATGTTTCTTCATATTCAAATATTTTTAACAATTAACTTAAAAAGTTAAACGACACATAACACATTGTGGCATGATTTGTTTAGGCCTACACAAGTATAAAAATTGGTGAAATGATGTTTGTGAAAATCAGCCAATAAAGACCAACACCAATTCTAATTTTACAGAAGACGTAACTTGCATAAGCTTACCATTATCATTCTGGTTTAGTTTTTTAGTCTGTCCACTGCAATGAATTGTTTTAAGCAAGTTTTCATCACCACAAACCAATCATCATACCTCACGATACACACACACACACACACACACACACATTAAAGCAACTTACTGTGAATGAATGTAGGAAAAAACAACAGGTTCTAAGAAAAGTAACAAGAAAATTAATGGAATTTGTGTATATCATTTGTATTCTTAATTTTTCATTACTTTATTTTTCTACATTGAAAGAAGCTAAAGGTAACTTCCAAGGTATAGATAATTTCTGTTTCCAGGGCCAAAAAATGAACTATTGAAGCTTTTATGACCATAGTATCTATGAATTATCCAGCTCTAGAAAATATAACTATATTCAATACAAATCATGACAAAAACTCAGTTTTCTGTTACATTTTTTCTTGCTATTTGCTTTTCTTCAGTAATTTGCTACTTTTTTTTATGTTACTTTAAAATTTTATCCAAAACTGATGCTAAGTTATTATTTGAATTGTAGGGAATGTTAACACTAAATTAAACAAGAAATATGATTAATATTTCAAATTATAATTTAATAACTACAAATAACCTGATAAAAATAGAAGAGAGCATTTATAAACCTCAACAATCAGCAGAGGTAAGGCTTAGCATAAACAAATAGTTATTTTTTTATTGCTCTGGGCCCAACCATCAAATTAATGACTTGTTTATTACCATTAATTTTACATTTTTGCCTTTTTCAACCCTCAGAGTAAAGACACAGCCCATAAAATTTGATGAAATCACTCATTCTTTATATAAAATGCATAGTTTTTTATCCTACTGATCCCCCAGATCATCTTGTAAACTTTCATGAGATCATCTTTTACCCTTCTTTTCATAAGAGAAATAAGTTAGGAGCCCTTAACATATTCTTTTTCTAAAGGCTTTTGATAAAGTGAAAAATGGATAATTAGTGAAAAAATTATATCTGTGAGTTGGCAAAAAAAAAAGACAAGTAATTAGACTGAATGTGAATAAGTATGATAACACAAGTATGATACTGCTAGTTACTGGCAGTATGACTCGAGAATCAGTTCTTTGGGCTTTGCTTTTCCTTATTTACATCAATGAAATTTATTGAATATGAATAATGAGTTTGGTGATGTCATTACAATATTGAGTATTTTTAGTTTTTTTGAGGATGTTGAGGTACTACAGGTTAGCTTTGATCAATTGGTAAGTTGAAGAAATAGTTGTCAAATGACAAATAATTATAGTAAGTGCAAAGTAACTCATTCAGCTCATCCAAATTTCAGACGTGGCATAGTGATAGATCAGTCCCTAAAGCCATAGAACTAGAAGAAGTGCTCTTTTGCTAGATGTAAAGACGATACAATTTTAAAGCCTGTTGATCACAAATCAAGAGGTAATTATTTCTTTATACAAGTCACTAGTTTAGTAGTCAGGCCTCACATGGAATACTATGGATAGTTTTAGCCTCCAAATCTCCATAACTAAAAACAGATATTAATTTATGGTAAAAATGGTAGGACTAAAAGACACAAATATAAATTTTGGCATGTATGAATCATCTTCTTCTAAGGCAGTTTTTTTTTCTAACAGGGTAGTTGGCCTTTGGAATGGGTTGCCTTCAAATGTGGTGGATGGAGTAAATTTAAGGGACATTAAGTGAAGACTTGATAAATATTTGAATGATAATGATTGGCTTTGAGTGTTTTATTTTGAAGTGGATTGGATGATCTTGATATACCAACAAGTCTCTCATATGCTATAAGTTATTGGAAAAAGGTCAAAGAAGATCTACTAGAGTGTCTGCAGTAATGGAAATGTTATAATACAATAAGTTACAATCTCTTAACATATTTTATCTTGAAGAAGAAAAAAAGAGTAAGAGTTGGTCTATTGAAATGTAAAAAGGTTATCTAGGTTATCCCTCCGACTTCTTTATGCTAAATTCTGAAGGCAATAAGATAAGAAGATATGAGTTTATACTTTAGAAAAGACAGGCTAGACTCCAGTATACCAATTTTAATATTTTATTACTTATGAAATGAGCTGCTATCAGCAGTAGTGGAGACTGGCACCTAACAAATTTACAAAGAGAATCAATGATTTCCTGAAAAATAAAGAGAGTAATTTTACTTTTCTTTTCTTGTGGATGACTGTGCAAGGACAACCTTGTAGAACCAAATAATCCCTTCTTGTCAATGTTATATTTGTTTATGACTCTGATATTAGGGAATCTATAACCAACAACTTTGATCAAGTCACCTACCCACAAGCAATTTTGTAACAAATTGTTTGTTAAAATGTTTAAAAATTTGACAGGGTCCATAGCTCATCAATAAATCTAGGGCCAAGAAAATTTTGTTCTTTAATTCCAATTTCTGATCTAGTGATTCATGTCCAACACCCTTGTTTTACAAATAAGACTATCCAATTACATGTGCAACAAACTCTGCAGATATAGTAACAATATTAGTACAAAAATATCACATTCTGGTGGCTCTTCATTAATTTATAACATTTTTAACGCTAAGTTGTTTTCAACACCCACAATGATTCCAAATCATGAAAATATAATTTAGATTATACTTAGACAAGACACTCGGTCACTATGACATAGCGGATTGGGCGACTGTTGTTTATGGTAAAATGGATATGACTATGAGTTTTACACTATGTCAAATGCTCTTTTAATAATGATATTATTTTTTTAATTTCTGATATAACATGAAGTGTAATAATAATAATAATACTTTAAACTTGTCGATACAAATGATAATGGTACCTACAAAGTTATCTTACTTTTTCACTTCAACTCCAATTCTGGAACTTTCCTCACATTACACTACAGCGATCGAGACACATACTTAGTTAAGTTAGTAGTATTACTAGTATTAGTAACTGACCTGAAGCTAACCATTCACCATCATATGAAAACTCAATAGCGTTCACACAGCCATAATGAGCAAAAAGATCTCTTGTATAAAGATTACTTGCTGTGGCAAATCGTTGACGAAGAACTGGTACTGGCGCAGTAACGCGAGAACCATTAAACTGTCGCTGAGTTAAATACTCAAATATTAAGTTCTTCCTCTCCATCTTCTAAATAGTGCCTTACACTTTTAGTTTTCGAGTACACATCGAATCACACTTGAACGATTACAGCGCTCTAAAGTGTTGAGTAATTGTTTGACTTTGATGAAACATAAAGACTATAGAGTAACATATTTTTAACTATCGGCAAGTGTCATTTATTTCAGATAATATTCACGAGTAACAATAGGAAACATTCATTTGCTAATTATTATTATTTAATGCTGCTAACAAATTTATAAGAAAATATGATAAATGAAAATCATGGCAGTTAAATATTTGTTATCAAGCTATGATCAAATAGGCTGAAGTTTTCGTTTTTGTTTTTAACGCAGATCTATCTAATTGACTATCTACACTCTGTCTAACGCAGGTATCGAACATCAAATTCTAGCACAGAAAGTTAGAAATCTTACCGCTGACCCACTAGGGGACAGGTTGAAAGTAGTACAGAAAAGTGACATAAATATAGGAGAGAAAGCTGACCCATGACTCAGAGTTTGCTCGAGCTGACTGATCCAAACTCAAGAAAAACACATTTGTGACATATATCATAAGTACGGTAGTACTTATAGTAGGAATTGGGCAGATGTGCAATATGTGTTATACAAATTAAAATCTCAAACACACTGCGAACAGTATGTAAACAAAACTTTATAAACACTTTTGAGACACTGTTGAGTAGTAAACAAACCAACTGCAGAGTAACAAGCCACCAAAGCACTTGAGAAAGTCGACAGAGTAAACAAACAAAAATTTCAAAACACCACAAATTTTCAATCTGACTATATGACTGACTGACCAACGTTGTTGGAAAGGCATAGCTCTCCTGCCTTCACCTTATGGAAATCTAAACCCACATGACTGAATTACACTATTTTAGCTAAAAGCGTTTTTCTTAGATATACTTATATACTTAGTAATAACGAATAATAATGATATTTTTCAGCACTACTAACCAACTAACAATACATTAGTAGCCATATTCTATGATTACAAGCATGCTCTGTGAATTGTAAAGTAACATCCCACCCTAATATCACGTGTGGGTGCACGATTGCTAATTATGCGCACGCGCTACGTGATCAGCCTGCAGCTATATTAGCTAGATCTAGATCTATGTTATAACCTTTGAAAGCAAAGTTTCAGTTCTATACATCTGAGTCGAGGGTTTTGTGTTGGACAAAACAATTCTATAATAGCAGTTGGTGCCTAAAACTTGAGTCTCCTAAGTGAGGACGAACACTACCACTGCCGAAGTCTGACACAGCTTTGCTCAAGCACTCTTGACTAAAAACAAGAATGATGGGTTATGAGAAGGATAGGCTTAGAGCCCAGTCAGTCTCGAGACTTAGCATCAAGAAATGCTATGAGAAGGATAGGCCTAGAGCCTAGTCGTTCTCGAGTCTTAGTGCCAAAAAAACCTATGGAAATAATTGTAAAAAAAACAATTAAATAAAAAATTTAGGAAGAAAGAATGGGAACACCAAAAAGTAAGTAAACGAGGTAGGAATGGGCGGGTTAACATTACAACACTTGGTGATTTTTAACAAGGTGCAACCTCAAAGTGGGTTTGACCATCATTCTGCCCATTACTACTTTGTTTGCTATTTGTAACTTGGTAATTGTTTAAACTCAATGAAAGGTCTATGTTGCTAAATTTCTCTGTTCTAAACTTTGTTTCAGCAACCAAGTACAGATACATATATGTAATCAAATGACATGACCCTAATGAAATGAATGACATCATAGGGGAGTTGATGTCGGAATTGAGACAGAGATCTCCAACAGTCATACTTTGCTTATTGGAGACGTTTATAGATTGTAAGGGATGGGCAAAAAGAATCGTATCAAAAACACTGATTTTTAAAAATTATTAATTTTTTGAGTATTTAAAAGGGATTAGCTACTAATAAAACTCAATTCAAGTCTATAATTGGAACAAAGTTCAAATTAAAACACAAAAAAGGAATGGACAGAACAATGGCCACACTCACTTTGAGGTTGCACGTGTCAAAAATCACCAAATGTTGTAATGTTTGTCCGCCCATTCCTACCTTGTTTCCTTAATTTTGGTGCTCCCGTTCCTTCTTCCTAATTTTTCTATTTAGAAATTTTTTACACTTGTGGAATTAACATTAACACTCAGTCTCTCTACTTATAAGATATATAAATTATTATCACTATTAGGAGACAGAGGTCTGTCTTTGTATTTATATAAATTTGTTTCTGTTCCGTAATAGTAGGTCTAAGCTTTATTTTAGGTTACTTTACATGGTATTGTGTATTTACCTGCTATATTTTCAATGTTCTAATTTAAACATTAGCTAGAGAGAGCTGCTAATAATAACGAACTAATGATCGAAAAATGCCGAGAAATATGAAGAAACAAGAATACAGTTATAAATATGTGTAAGCAATCAATACAGTACTACTGGGCTCGACATGGCCAGGTGGTTAGGGTGCTCGACTCACAATCAGAGGGTCGCGGGTTCGAATCCCCGTCACACCAAACATGCTCGCCCTTTCAGCCGTGGGGGCGTTATAATGTGACGGTCAATCCCACTGTTCATTGGTAAAAGAGTAGCCCAAGAGTTGGCGGTGGGTGGTGATGACTAGCCGCCTTCCCTCTAGTCTTACACTGCTAAATTAGGGACGGCTAGCGTGTAGCTTTGCGCGAAATTCAAAAACAAACAGTACTACTGTACCAATAAGTTCAGCACCAGTCAAAGTGCAGTATATATTTTAGTAAACTGTGAATGTGTGTTCAGTAAAAATTATCATGTTTTGTTTGTTATTCAGTTGCTTGCAGAGTTACATGTTTGATAACCTAACAAAGCAAGTTATTCAATTCAGTTAATCGTATGTCTCTCGATAGGGCACATTATAACCTAACGTCAGAAGTGAGATTATTTGTGAAAGCAAAATAGAACCTTAACTAAATTTCAATTTGACAACCCCATCACGAAGCGAGATCAAAACATTGCTAGAAATGGGGAACATTTCAAAGAATGAGATCAAAAATTAGAAGAACAAAATAAAGATTAGAGAATTTAAGACAGGCGTTGAGAGAGAAAAAAATTATTATTTATTTGTTTGTTTTAAATGTTTTGCAAAACTACTCAAGGGCTATCTGCATTATCTATCCTTAATATTGAAGTGATAAACTAGAGGGAAGGCAACTAGTCAACACCATCCACCACCAACTCTTGAGCTATTCTTTACACATTGTAACAACCTCAAGGCTAAAATGATGAGACTGTTTGGGAACGAAATTCGAGCCCTCAACCCTCAATTTGTGAATCGAGTGCCCTAACCATCAGGTCATGCCAATCTAAGAAGGATTAAAACAAAAATATATCTGACTGAATACAAGATTGATGAATCTATTGGCGATGTGAAGAGGATTACAACCAGGGAGGATTACCTATTAGGTAAGGTAGGCACCCGCCTATGGCCCCTACCTGGAATGAGGTCCCAAGTAGCCAAGAAAAAAGTTAAATAAACAAATAATAAAAGATAATAAATACATAAATAATAAATAAAATAAATAAATAAGTAATGTGAAGAATACACATAGAATGATAAAAATAAAAAATCGTGCATTTGTAATGAAAGTTTACGAGCTGAAGGTATGTTTAATCCTATATATAGGGGGCCCAACCATCACATACATGATACATGATTGTACACTGAGTGGTCACAAGTAAATAGACACCTAATTTTTCGTCATTTAACTGATTTATGCTAACTAATTTGTGTTCACAGACCACTATATAACTTAAAATGGTCCGCACACTAATTATCTTGTGCTACTACATTCCTACAACTCAAGGTTCTCTCAAATTGTCAGCTTTTGTTAAAGAAAGGATAGTTGGT